TTGGTGGCCACTTTCTCCTCCTTTTGTCTATGCCTGCCCAGCAACCCCTTCCTCTTGTGGCTTGCAACCCCTTCACTCTTGCACAATCTTGATCCTCTTTACAGCTGCCCACCCCCACAACACTGCCTATTGTGCCCAGTGCCCTTTATGCTTTATTTCACTAACTCCCTCCCCTCCCACATAGAGCCTCCATTCTCTTTACCCTGACTTCTCTTTATCATTTCTACCCTCCTCTACAATGGTTATTCCTCTCAAATGCCCTCAATGGTGAACACTACCTACTCAACCACACATGACTTCTACTTCGGCGGCTTCATCCATGGGGAGACTGAGGAAGATCTGAGAAGCCACATGGGTGGGCGCTGGGCAACTGCCTTGCTCACCTTGCCCTAAGACAGGGCCTGGTACTGAAAAATAAATGATTAGGCTGTAGATGAGAAGGGAAGTCCTGGGAGAAGTGAGAAGTCACTTGAATGGCAAGAAAGGAAACAACTGAAAGAACTAGGGTAACAGAGTATATATGAGGGATAGAGAGAAGGGAACGAAAGATGAAATACTCTCATACAGTGATAAACACCTAGATAAATCACCATGGTTGGAGCTCCAAAGGCTAACCAAAATAAAAGAGAATGATGATGGAAACACAGATAACAGAATGAAAGACTGAATATAATAACAATAGGGGAATAGAAGAGTGAAGAGATAGACAAGGCCATGTACATAAGACTTTAAACTGTAAGCTGTTGGAGATAGGGACCATCTTTTTATTGTTTATATTATGCTGTTAAGCACTACCATAATACATAATAATAGAAAAGATGTATTAGAGAAATGTAGGCACTGTTTTTCAAAGGAAATAGACAGCACTAAACTAGTAGTGTTAAATATATGGTACAAGGTCAGGTATGCTTATTATTTGTATTAGGTATTTATCTTATCTCATGAAAAACTGCAGCTTACAGGCCTTTATTTTTAAAATACAAGGTTTTTATGCTTTTATGATTATGAAGAAAAGCTCCTAAATGTGAACTGATTTTAAATCAATGCAAAATTGTCTTCCTTCACTGCAGATAGTCTGAAAAGCATGAACCGGTACCTTTACTCTCAAAATGATAACTTCAAAAGTCAGATTTTAAAATAATGTAAGTGTTAAGTGCAAATCTGTGCCTCTAATTTGTGCAATACATTGACAATGTATGTGTGAAACATGCAATAACATGCTAATCTAATAAACAAAAGGCAGAAATAGCCCATGGCTTTAGGAGCTTTGTGATAAGTGATGTTGTGTGCAAAAATAACTTCATTAAAAACCTGATCATGGAAACACTTAACATGCAACTGCACTAGGGAAAAAGGTATGTTGTTAAGTCCTGAGAACATATATGATAACACAAGGCAAAATCTCAGCAAAGACAAGGCACTTTGTAGCTTTCACATTAGAAAGTTGAGCTAAAGACTTCCTAGTGAAGACAAGGCTTTAACCATTCATTGGGACTATTCATTTGCATGAAGTTATACACTTGCTTAAAATATTTCTGGTTTAATGTTTTGATCTTGTGAAGGAAATGTTGCGGGTGAAGCCCCATCAGCTATATACAGATGTAGAGATCCACCTATATTTCCAATATAAATTCCAACTCTAGTATTGGAATTCATGCAAAGAAATTTAGATATGTGTACTGTAAATCATTATATTTTTACTTTTGTTTGACAGTGTGATTTTCCCACATTAATGATGGCACGGGTTTCTAAACCAATCATTTTACTTGGAAACAGTGCCTGATTTCCTTCTCCTCCAAATGACTGCCATCACTATAGAATCACAGAATACTAGAACTGGAAGGGACCTCGAGAGGTCATTAAGTCCAGTCTCCTGCCCTCACGGCATGACCAAGCACTATATCTGTAGTAGATATAACTATGAATTTTAAAAATGTATTGTTTGGCAATAGGGATTTATTCGGTGTTTCTAACACACACCAGATTTGAATGTATTTAATTGTAGCTACTTTTTCTATAGCTAATGCTTTTCTACATATTTTCCCTGATTTGGGAAAAAACTGAAATATATTTTGTTTTGGATAATAAGGATCATGTATAGGTTTTTAGAACTGAGATGGGAAAGTAGAAGGATTTGTTTGACTAGCATTTGGTATCTTTGGTGATATTTAGAGTTTGAATGCTTATTAAAGAGCCAACTGTACTTTGTAATTAAGTAACTGAAGTTGTTTAGGTTGTCCACTTTGTTGTTGTTATTGGTAGGAATTTTAAATTCTTTCTTCCTTGGGTACTTCTGATAAATCTTTAGATTAGACACAATGTAAAAACTGGTTGTTGCCTACACTCTCTTTTTTCTCCCAGAAGATAGAAGGGATTTCATCTGCACTAAGTGCAAGCTGGTTGCCATATTGGAAGAAAAAATTAGAGGACTCGAGGCCCAAGTATCAACCCTGCACTCCATCAGAGAAGATCAAGACTTCCTCGATAAAAGGCAGCATTTAATACTGCAGGCACAGAAGATTGAAGAACCAGTGAAGGCAGTACAGAATAAGGAAATGTAATCTCCAGGAGAAATAAGCTAACGCAGGTATCCCCAATTCCATTAGAGGTAAGTATCCACTTTCAGGCTCTCTGCACAGGTACTACGGTGGAGAATGTTTTGGCAGAGACCTCTCATGGAAGGGATCAGAAGAAGGCATAGGATGCGTAGTCCTAGGGATGGGGGTTCTACGATCACCACCCCCAAGAGAAGAAGATGGGTGGTGGTGGTCGGGGACTCTCTCCTCACAGGGATAGAGTCATCCATTTGCCGACCAGGCCTGGAATCTCAAGAAGTGTGCTGCTTACCAGGAGCTAGAATTCAGGATGTGACTGAGAGTCTTCCAAAATGTATCAAACCTTTGGATCGCTACTCCTTCCTGCTTCTCCATGTGGGAACTAACGATATGGCCAAGAATGACTTTGAGCAGGTTCACTATGTAACACTGGGAAGAAGAATCAAAGAATTTGAAATGCAAGTAGTGTTCTCGTCCACCCTCCTTGTTGAAGAAAAAGGTCCAGGTAGGGATCATCAAATCGTGGAAGTAAATGCGTGGTTGCACAAGTGGTGTCAGAGAGAAGGCTTTGGTTTCTTTGACCATGGGACCCAGTTCCTGCACAAGGATTGCTAGGAAGAGACGGTATCCACCTAAACAAGAAAGAAAAGAGCATCTTCGCGGGCAGGCTTGCTAGTGAGGAGGTTAAGTGGGAGAGTGGGATACTGGGAAGAAACACAAGGAAGAAAGAGCAACAAAAGAGGACCCCTGATTCAAACGGAGAAGGTAGAGCAATCAACTAGTTATCTAACATATTTGTACGCAAGAAGCATGGGAACAAACAGGAAGAATTAGAAACCCTGGCACAGTCAAAGAACTATGATTTGACTGGAATAAGGGAGACTTGGGGGGATGACTTGTATGACTGGAACACTGTCATAGAAGGGCATAAACTGTTCAGGAAGAACAGACGGGGGAGAAAAAGAGGAGTTGCACTGTATGTAAGAGAGCAGTATGATTGCTCAAAGCTCCAGTATATAGAGGGAGAAAAGCTCATTGAATGTCTTTGGGTTAAGTTTAGAGGTAGGAGCAACAGAGGTGATGTTGTGGTTGGTGTCTGCTATAGACCACCAAATCAGGTGGATGAGGCAGACGAGGCTCTCTTCAGACAACTAAGAGAACCTTCCAGATCACAGGTCCTGGTTCTTATGGGGGACTTCAATCACCCTGACATCTCTTGGGAGACCAATACAGCAGTACACAGACAATCCAAGAAGTTTGTGGAGAATGTTGGGGACAATTTCCTGGTACAAGTGCTGAAGGAACAAACCAGGGGCATACTCTGACCTGCTGCTCACAAACAGGGTGGAACTAGCAGGGGAAGTAGATGTGGGTGGCAACCTGGGCAGCAGAGATCATGAGATGATCGAATTTAAGGATCCTGAACAAAAGAAGAAAGGAGAGCAGCAAAATTCAGACCCTGGGCTTCAGAAAAGCAGACTTTGACTCCCTCGGGGAACTGATGGGCAAGATCCCCTGGGACACTAACATGAGGGGGAAAGGAATTCAGGAGAGCTGGCTGTATTTTAAAGAAGCCTTATAGAAGGCACAGGAACAAATCATCCCAAACATCCGGCAAGAAAAGCAAATATGGTAGGTGACCAGATTGGCTTAACAGTGAAATCTTTGGTGAAATCTTAAACACAAAAAGGAAGTTTATAAGAAGTGGAAACTTGGTCAGATGACTAGGGAGGAGTATAAATATATTGCTCAAGAATGCAGGGGAGTAAGCAGGAAGCCGAAAGCACAATTGGAATTGCAGCTAGCAAGGTATGTGAAGTGAAACAAGAAAGGTTTCTATAGGCATGTTAGCAATAAGAGGGTGATCAGGGAGTGTGTGGGACTCTTACTGGATGAGGGAGGTAACCTAGTGACAGATGATGTGGGAGAAGCTAAAGGACTCAATGCTTTTTTTGCCTCTCTCTTCACAGACAAGGTCAGCCCCAAGACTACTGCACTAAGCAACACAGTATGGTAAGGAGGTGGGCAACCCTCGGTACAGAAAGAACTGATTAGGAACTATTTAGAAAAACTAGACATACACAAGTGCATGGATCCGGATTTAATGCATCTGAGGGTATTGGGGGAGTTGGCAAATATCATTGCAGAGACTTTGGCCATTATCTTTGAAAACTTGTGGAGATTGGGAGAGGTCCTGGATGACTGGGAAAAGGCAAATGTGGTGCCCATCTTTTAAAAAGGGAAGAAGGACAATCCAGGGAACTACAGACCAGTTAGCTTTACCTCAGTCCCTGGAAAAATCATGGAGGGGATTCTCAATGAATCCATGACTGACCAATCTGATTAGCTGCTATGATGAGGTAACTGGCTGTGTGGACATGGGGAAGTCAGTTGATGTGATGCACCTTAATTTTAGCAAAACTTTTGATATGGTCTCCCACAATGTTCTCAGTAGTGGTGGATTGAAGAAAAAGGAGCAATGGTCTCAAATTACAGTGGGGGAGGTCTACGTTGGATATTAGGAAAAACTATTTCAGTAAGAAGGTGGTGAAGCACTGGAAAGGTTACTTAGAGAGGTGGAATCTCCATCCTTAGAGGTTTTTAAGTCCTGGCTTGACAAAGGATGGGATGATTTAGTTAGGGTTGGTCCTGCTTTGGGCAGGGGGCTGGACTCGATGACCTCCTGAGGTCTAGTCCAGCCCTAGGATTCTGTGATTCAGTAGATACCCTCCATTTCCTTTCTCTGCTTTCATTCAGGATTAGATGCTTACTTTCTCAAGATTTTCCTAGTTCTGTGGACCATGTTTGTTTCATAGGGATGAACTCCTCATTTAAGGCTTGTTATTGCACCATTGATGTGGAGGCAGTTTTTCAACTGACTTGAATGGGACCTGGATAAATCCCTTGCAAATCCATCACCATGGCATTTTACCACAGATGAATCAATGGTACTTGTAAACTTACATGTTCATAGATTTTAAGGGCAAAAGAACCATTATGAAAATCTAAGTTAAACTCCTAGATAATACAGGCCATGGAATTTTCCTAGTAATTTCTGCACTAAACCTATAGCTTCTGGCTGAACTAGAACATATATTTTAAAAGACATCCAGTTTTGGTTTAAAGACTTCCAGTGATCCATCACATCACTAAATTCTTTCTTGCTTTTCTTTGACAAGAAGGTCAATCTATTTAAGAAAGGTTTTCAAGGCTTTGAATCATTGTGATTTTTTTTCTGGACACTTTAACGTATTTCAACAAATCCCATCTCTCCTCACTTCAAGGACCGAGCTTAATTTGTTTTTAAATGCTGCTAGTGTGGTATCACTGTAATGCAGTGATTCTTAAAGTGGTTGAAGACCCCATTTTAATTTCCTGGGACCCAAACCCCATAGCCTGGGGCCAAAGCATGAGGATTTCAGCCCTGGGTGGTGAAGCTCAGGGTTTCAGGTTTCCCACCTGGGGCTGAAGCTCTTGGGCTTTGTCTTTAACCTCCCGCCCCATCCAGGGCTGTTGGGCTTGGGATTCATTTTGGTCCCCTCACCTCCCTCCACCTAAGACAGTGGGGCTTTGGCTTTGATCCTCCTAGCCAGGATGGGGGACTTGGATTAGCTCAGGGTTCAATCCCCCCTGCTGGGGGCAGGTAGCAATTTTTGTTGTCAGAAATGCACAAGGAAGTCTGAGAACTCCTGCAGTAAGGAAAAGGCAAGATTAAAAAAAACAGGGTTTTGCAGTTTCTCTAAGGTTGTGAGAAGTGGAAGGGTAGCTGCCTCTTCTCCAGTCTCCATCTGTACTTTGAAACCTCTTTGGCTGAGATGGCAGCTTCATTACAAGCTACAGCCAATCAGGCTCTCCCAGTTCCAGGATCAGCTCTAGAGTTCTAAAGCGGGGCTGTTGGGGATCCCAACTGTCACCTCAGCGGATGGTGAACAGTTTAGTTGTCCAGTCCTTGCAGTGCAGCAGCCAGAGCAAGGCTTTCTAGCTTCCACCCACCTAGCTGATAGTTACCTACCTCTTTTCCCTTGCTATCTCCTGCAGCTTCCTCTCCCCTCCCCTGCCATTGTCTGCACTAACCCTATTTTTCCCTGTCATGGCCTAACAACTATCCTACCCCTCCTGCCCAGTCAGCTGTCACCCATCCTCCCCTTTCCTGCTATCAACCTCCTTCCATTACCTACCACCCACTCCTTCTGCCCAGGTAGCTGTCACTCATCCTTCCCTGCTGTTGCCCCCCTGCATATCCTCCACTTCTCTCCCCTCCCCTGCTGTCACTAGCAGCCTACTCTGCCCTTCCCACCCAGCCAGCTATCACCCACCTTCTCTTCACTTACCATCTACTCTTTTCTTTCTTGCCATCGCCCCTTGCCTACCCTTCAAGAGAGTTAGCAGCCAACAGGTATGTAACAAATATCTGACTCCAAATATTCACTCTGAAATGTTCTTTTGGCATTAATTACTGTTGTCTTAGGCTGTGCTAGGCTTCTGCTCTCCAGATTAATATAGCACAACAAGCAGGGAAATATTGTCTAACTTCCTCATTCTAGTTATTATAATAATCCAGCAACTCTTTTTAGTACCTATTTATGATACTTCCCCTTTGCTATCTTTGTTTCAATAAGCAAACAATACATTCTTACAAGTCCTTGAATGGCTTTGAAACTCATACCTCTAGTTAGTAAATACCTGGTAACACTATAAATGAAACCTTGTCTGTAAGCATTTGTGATTAAGATTTTAAAAGCTGTCACCACAATTGTCCCATGGTGCTAGCCGTGTAAGCAAAATCTATCTGGTAAATAACAGCAAGAAGTTGGAGTATGACAGAATATATATAATTTCTGAGGGTACAAAATGGCAGATAAATAGAGACAAGGGCCGTGTATACATTAGGTATTCTTGTATACTATCGCAAGTTGCGGGGACTCAAAAAAAGATTGGGGGATTCTAATGGATAATCAGCTGAATATGAACTTCCAATGTGATGCTGTGACTAAAAACAAGCTAATACAATTTTGGGATGCTGAACAGAGGAATCTTGAGTAGGAGTAGAGAGGGTAGTTAGCAATGTTGCAACTGCTGCTAGATTTACCAAGAAGGATATTGATATATTTGAGACAATTCATAAAAGAGCCATGAGAATGATTAAAGGATTAGAAACAAAGCCTTAGAGCAGGGGTGGTCAACCCATTATAGGCAAAGAGCCAAAATAGTTGTGCATATAGCACAAAGAGCCGGGGAAGCTGTCGAGCAATGAAAAAAAGAAGAAGCCCCCAGCCGCATTTGGTCAAGTGAAAAAAAAGGACTGTCCCTTTAAGAAACGTGGTTAAAGGCTTTCTGGCCACATCACTCTCCCACTGGACACTGCCATCTTGAAGATGCCATTTTGAATGGTCATATTGGATGGCTCCTCTGCCCCAGTGAGCACAGGGAGCCGGGAGACAGGAACCGTTTTCAGGAGTGCAGGGGCAGCTTCGCGAGCTGCACTTATATGGGGGGGAGCCGAATGCATCTCGCGAGCTGCTAGTTGGCCATGGCTGCCTTAGAGCGACAGACTCAAGGAACACACTCTATATATCTAAAAGAAAAAGTAATGAAGTGATTTGCTTATAGTCTATACATATCTACATGAAGGATACATTTAATATATGAGCTCTTCAAGGTAGCAGGGAAAGGTATAACAATATCTAGTGGTTGGCAGTGAAGCTAGACGAATTCAAACTGGAAGTAAGGCATGAATTTTGAACAGTGGGAATAATTCACAACTGGAAGTTTACCAAGGGTTGTGGTCAATGTTTCCTCTAATCTTTCCCATCCAAGTGCAGAATATATTCTTTTATGTGAACCAAGGCATGTGTGAATTCACACCCCCAGTAGAAATAAAACCTAGCTATGGGCTGTTAATCAGCTGGATGGCATTTAAATCACTCCTGAGCAGTCGCAAAAGCACACAACTAACAGGCAACTCTACTTAGGTTCTCCACCAGTGATAAATTTTAAATTTTTTTTTTTAAAAGATCGAGTCATTATTTTGAGGGATTTCTGTGACCTGTGTTATTCAGGAAGTCAGATTTTACAATCACAATAGTTCCTGCTGGCCTTAACATATAATGAATCTAGCCTTGCAGTGTACAAAGCAGGATATACTGGATGGAATTCTGGAATCAGAGTTTTGTTTTTTTTTGCAAAGAAATGGCTGTTGAATGGAATATATATAATATGTACAACACAACAGAAACATTATGCATGTAGTATATTATCTGGAAATACCTGGACTTTAAATCAACAATACTGAGAATGTAATAGTTATTGACAAATATTTAATCCCTGTGATTTCTCCTTCCCCCTCGCCCCATGTTTACTAACATTAAATAAATGGTCCAATAATAGTCTCACTTCATCAGTCCCATGAAGATGAGAACAGCTGGAGTGAGAGCAAAAAATTTTCCAGTAGTGTAGGCTTCCATGTCTCAGGAAGAGCATGCCACTGTCTTTCTTAGTGCATATAAACCCAGAAATGGCGTGGGAACGATCACCTTCCTGTTTTAGTGTGAGGTTACTTACAAACCTGGAAGAAAACAAACGGATAGGAACCATTTTAAACTTGCTCTTAAGGTTCGTGGTAGAAGCCAAATCGAGCCAAGATTTTTAAAATAAGCCAGGTTCACGGTGGCCCCAAGAAAGATCTGACCAAAGTTAGAGAAGAATGCAACTACTTACATCTGGGACACTGCAGATGTAAGTTTCCACTGCTGACTGATGCCGGTAGCAGGCCCAACAGTGAATGACCCTTGGCTTCACCCTGCCTGCTTTCTGCCTCTCACCCTTAGTTGCTATGCCGCCCAGCGTCCGCCACCTTCTCCTTTGCTCCCTGTCAGGCCGCCACTTTACTCCCGGCTGCTCCAGTCCTGCCTTCTCGCGTAGCTCCTCCCTCTGCTCACACACTGTCCCAGGGCGCCGGGCTGACATCACACCCGGGGTTTCCATCGGACCGAGGGAGGGGGAGCCTGTACTGAGCGGTGGTAGCGTGATGGCGGCGGCCGGGAGGACCTAAGCGGTGGCGGCAGCGACACAGCGGCACCCTGGTTCTCTCCCGCTCCCTCCAGTCCTGCCTTCTCGCGTAGCTCCTCCCTCTGCTCACACACTGTCCCAGGGCGCCGGGCTGACATCACACCCGGGGTTTCCATCGGACCGAGGGAGGGGGAGCCTGTACTGAGCGGTGGTAGCGTGATGGCGGCGGCCGGGAGGACCTAAGCGGTGGCGGCAGCGACACAGCGGCACCCTGGTTCTCTCCCGCTCCC